GCTCATATGGAACAACTTCTTTTCAGGGCCACTCCCAGAAAACTTGGGCAGGCACTCAAAGCTCAAATACGTGGATGTTTCAACAAACGAATTTGTTGGTGAAATACCCCCAGGCATATGTGCAGGAGGGATGCTGATGAAGTTGATTCTGTTCTCAAATAATTTTACAGGCGGGCTGCATCCATCTCTTTCCAATTGTTCCACTCTTGTTCGTCTTCGAGTTGAAGATAATTCATTCTCAGGTGAGCTGTCTGTGATATTTAGTAATCTCTCGGAAGTAATATATATGGACTTGTCTAGAAATAAGTTTGTAGGAGGGATTACTGTTGATATAACCGAAGCCTCCAGTCTTCAATACTTGAACGTGTCTAATAATCCGCAACTAGGAGGAGTAATTCCAGAAAAATTATGGTCCCTGCCATCACTCCAGAACTTTTCTGCAGCCTCTTGCAGTATTTCAGGAAATATTCCATCATTTGATATCTGCAAATCTATGATGGTTGTTGATTTAAGCAAAAACAATTTATCTGGGACTGTTCCTGAAAGTATATCCAATTGTAAGGGTCTTCTGGCAATGGACTTGTCCATTAACAATTTATCAGGTCATATACCAGTTCAGCTGGCTACTCTTCCTGCTATTAGCGTCCTAGATATGTCGCACAATAGCTTTAGTGGTCCAATACCCATGCAGTTTGGGAATTCTTCAAGCTTAAAACTCCTAAATGTGTCATTCAATGATATATCTGGTTCCATACCTCTCGAGAAGGCCTTCAGAATGATGGATAGCAGTGCATTTATGGGAAACCCCAGGCTTTGTGGTGTGCCATTGAGAACTTGTCATGGGAAGGGAATGCCCAGTGGTCTTGAATTGGGAAGCAGGAGAACACAGAAGTTTGCTTGGGTTCTCATAAGCTGCGCGGTCATTGTCTTACTTATCGTCATGATAATTTTCGGGATGCTTCATTTTAGAAAAGGAACTAAAGGTGAATGGAAAATAGTTTCTTTCAGTGGGCTTCCTGGATTTACTGCAAATGATGTTTTGAGGAGTTTCAATGCTGCAGAAGCCGCAGATGCAGTGCCATCATTTCCCCATTCAGTTTGCAAAGCGGTTCTGCCTACTGGGATAACTGTTTCTGTCAAGAAGATTGAATGGGAACAAAAGAGGGTGGACAGCATGTCACGATTCATAAACAGAATGGGCAATGCTAGGCACAAGAACTTGACTAGGCTCCTGGGATTTGTCTACAACAAGCATATGGCATACCTGTTGTATGATTACTCTCCTAATGGAAGTCTAGCCGAAAAGATCAAGATGAAAAGAGATTGGGAAACCAAGTACAAGATTATAATTGGAGTCGCAAGGGGACTCAGCTTTCTTCATCATGATTGCTTTCCCGCAATTCCACATGGGGATTTAAAGGCTAGTAACATAGTGTTTGATGAAACTATGGAGCCTCAATTGGAAGAATATGGACTCAGTTCATTGTATCAATTAAAGAATATCGAATTACCAGCGACAACTAACCCAGAAACAGGTACGCAATACCACTTCTACATTACATTATATAGTTTCCAGTAAATTTCCTCTGACAGAATAATTCTCCAGGATTCAAGACATAAAATGTTTCTGTTTCTCCTAAGAATAGATGAATGAAAAAGTGGAGCATCAATAGTCTTTTGCGTGGGCGAATATGCTTTTCCTCTGTTAACGTTATTCCTCAGTTAATTCTTCCTCCTTTGTCTGATAACGTTATTCCAGATATTTCATATGTTTACTTATGTCTACCTTGAAATGGTAGGACCACCTCATCCCCCCTCCCCATACAAGTGTAAAACAAGATTGAATCTTGGCAATGACAGCCTGAATATTTTGCCCTTCTTAGGAGTTAACTAGGGCTCTTTAAGACTGTTTTGAACTCGCTAAACAGGTGAAGTTACCCCAAGCACAAAGGACCAGCTTTACAAGGATGTATACAACTTTGGAGACATGATTCTGGAGATCTTAACAAATGGAGGGCCGAGGAGCACTTCAAAAGAGGTTCTTTTAAGAGACATTCTCGATAGGAATGAGATTAGTCCCTCCAGTTCTATGCAAGAAGAAATAAAGTTGGTCTTTGACGTGGCTTTGCGCTGCACAAGTAGAATATCAGATAGGCCGTCAATGGAGAATGCATTAAAGCTTTTATCGGGTTTGAAACACCAAAGGTCATAGCGACCTCTTCGGAGAGGAGGCCGAAGCATCAAGATCACGATAATCTAGTCAATAAATGTGACCAGATATCTGTAAGTAACATGTTAAGCTGAAAATTTTGCAGTTGCCTTTAATGTGGTTGGTAGTTTTCGCCTGGTTAAGTAGTACAGTACTATTTATATTCCCCCCGCCCCCGCGTGTAAAAAGAGGTGTATGAATGTGGACGTGTAGTTTGGCTTCTTATGATATTTAGCCTCAGTTTTGCTGCCTTTCTTGCAACTTGTCTTCTGAGTTCTGATTCTGCTTTTTTCCGCTTTCTGTGTTATGTCGGTTTTGATGTATTTCTTGCACCTTGTCTTCTGAGTTCTGATTCTGCCTTTTTCCGGCTTTCTATTTATGTGGTTGGAATGTGGATTTGGGGGGTATTATCATCGCAGTAGAAAGCTAAGAGGAGATGCTCTATTCTACGCCTTTGTGACTAATGTCTAGTGCAGATAAAGGCGGTGTAACGTCGCAAGGTTAACCTCCACGCCTTTGATAAACACAGCTAAACTAGATAGACCAATTGAATTTCGATTTTCCACCTATAAATATATGTGTAATCAAGATTAAACCATCATATCATCCATCAATCGTGTGGCCCAAATAGTAGATATGTAGTTCTTTTACTTATATTATAAACATATTTCTCAACTCATTTTTTTATATTCCTAAACACCTTTTTAATCTAACATACATTATATTATAAAAAATATCACAGTAATTATTTTAAATAATACTTTATCCAAACAAATTAATATCTTTATGGCCTGCCTCCAATGAATTGGGTTCTGCCTGATTTATGACAGTCAAGGAAGTCAACTGATTGTAGTTATCTTGCCAGGCCTTTGAGGAGGTCGAGTTATGAGGACTGGGCCTTGAGCCCACCAGGATTTAGAAATAACTGGTGGACAAGTTGCTCGACGTCTGCCTGAAATTGGGTCCCTTTTGAAACCGCCTGGAGTTAAAACTTTAATATTATGGATCTTCTAGGCAACCCAGCACATGCAGTATGGATCCATTCAACCCAATTTTCACACATGTTTTCCTTGGAAAGACGTGGGCGTTTTGCCCATAAATGGGCAAACTCTTTATGTTAGGTATCAAAATGGAATGGATGTGATGTCCTGTTTTCTTGCCTCATGTAATGCTTGACCAACAAAATTGCATGTACAAAATTCAGCGCAATAACCTATTAAAATTCAGTCATATCGTCGTAGACTAGCAGGCAATTGTTTGTAACTCAAAGTTTTTTGTCAAGTTGTCTGTCATGGGTTTTTTAAAAACTTTAGCTACAGTAACCTCAAAAAATTTTTCAAAATTTTTAAACTATACACTTCAAAATATTCAAACACCTACACATTTCAAAATTTTTTTAAAAAGCTTCTATAGTAAGTTATAGTAAAATTTTAGACAAATTCCCAAAAAACTCACATTCCAAAGAGAAAATTTATTTCGTTCTTTCCCTTTATCTTACGAGTTTATATTATGTAGTTATTTTTTAATTAGTATTCTTCCCCTTCAATTTTTTTGGCATGATTTTGTTCCGTTTTGGACTACTGCAACTTTCCATTGCCATAACCTAACGTTAATATATTTCCAATTTAATTCCTACCAATATCTATCTTCCAGATGAACAAATGAAAATCATTCTTAATGACATTCCATTAATTACTTCCCGCGGCGGGGGGGGGGGGGGGGGAATTTGATGGGCAAGTATTGCGATGGATTCTTAATGCCACGAATGGGTGCATGCAATTACATATATGGTTTTAATTTCAACAACATACACAATAATAAGTTATCTAGACAATATTAGTCAAGGTTATTTTTTCCATCGCAGCCAATCATTCACGATTAAAACATCCACGCCCAAAGAGCCATAATTCTTAATTTCGTCTATTAACTTGTTTTAAGTATACTAACCCATTGCATAAATTAGATAACTGTATTAGAATATATGCGTGCCGTTTAATGTTAAAGTTTTTAAATAGAACGTTACGTCAGTTAATACAACGTATAATTTATTACGAGCATTATAATCAAGTTCTAAGTTAAAGTTTTTAAACAAAGCGATACATTAATTAATGTGACGTGTGAACTATTACAACCATTATAATTTTAAGTTCGTAAATAAAGCGATACATAATTCAAAGCGATTTATTCCAACTATTAATCTGCATCTGGCCAATCCCACATGTCTCAAATGTACAAGCATTATTGATGAAACAAAAATATTTCCAAAAGTGGATCAACCGAAATCATATTGAATAAGACAGATCACTAATTATGCAAATATTTCTCTGGTAAGTAATAAATATAAAAGTAATGCAAAAATTACTAGCATTTTCACACCCTGTCTAGGTTACTCCCTTAAAAACTTTCTCTTATCAAGGGGGAATAAAAAATAATTGGAACCGCCAATAATTTTCGGGTTGCAATTTTATACGCAAATAAATACGGAAAATACGGAAAGTCCCCAAGTCTGTACAGCAAAAGCCGTAGACGACGTGGACAAGTCATTGACACAGCAGAGATTCTTTAACCCGGGCTCCACTTCCACTCCTCTACTTTACCAACCAGAGAGATTCTCTTCTAAATTTCACTCTTTTCTTTCCCCATTTTCTCTCCAGGCTCACGAGCTCTTGGCTACAGAGCGCGAAATAATAAATTTATATATATATAAAAAAAAAAAAGAATACGCAGAACACTTGCTTATTAGTATACACACTACTTAAGAAGGAAGGAAAGACCTGACATTTCTGGAAGGAAAAAAAATGAAGAAGGGAAGGAAAGACTTTTAAAAAGGGAGCTGGGGGTGGGAGTGGTGGGAAAGTCAAGAGAAGTCAAGGCCTTTTTGTACTCATTCTACTCTGTGCAGCAATTCTTGCCACACCGCCCTGATCGCCGCCATGGACGGCTGCCAGTCCACTAATGTGAATGGTTCCGCCGCTGCAGTGAGAAATTTTGCGGCCCCTTTTGTAGCCAATGGGACTGCCGAGACAACTTCAGTGACCACGGAGCGCTTTTCAAGTCTGTCTCTTGGTGATGATGGAGGAGACTTCTCCGTTCAGCCTCAAGACAAACCAGAGAAAGACCCCAGAAAGATTGCCAGAAAGTACAGCCTTTTTCTCTGCTTTGTGTTGCATGTTACTGCATTTTGCTTCGTGGGTTTCCTTTTTCTTGAAGAAATTTCTCTTGCATGATGTGTTTTATTCTATTTTGTTTTGTGTTTCTTTGTTCTCTTTCCCTCGAGTATCTTCTTTGATCCATTATTTGTGTTTGCTTCATTGTTTTGTGGGACTACCGAGAAAAATGGTAAATATAGAGGTTACTCTTACGATTTTCTGTTGAGAATTGGGTTCAGGTGTCTGCATTTACATTTCTTATTGCTTCCTTTGATACCATTAAGTCGTCTTTTCTCTTTGCATGTCGCTAGGACTTGAGGTAGTTGGAGAGACCACATTTATTCGGGTTTTCTTCTCCTTCTTATTCCTGTTTGTGGTGTCAATACGATTTTGCTTTTCCGTAGTCTCATTCTATTAGTGTTTGAGCCTGTGCTCATGAAATAAGATGACAAGTGGACAATAGTTTAAGAGGGAATATCTTATGTTGTTTGTCACCAATCTAAAGAAGAAGTGAAAATTTCCAAGGAAGATGCACAGGCCAGTGCATAGGGTCTTAGTTTTGCGGCTCAGAACAAGAATTCTGCCTGTCGACTCCTTTGCTTTCCTACTTCGGCTAGAAACAGAAAAGTGATATGTAGGATTCAGTGCATTTTTTGTTTTCATACTATCTGAGTTATTTGACTTATGTGCTCAAATCTCCGTTTTTACTCTGCCTATGCTTTTCTAGTGCAAGTGTAAATATCTTAATCTGCGGGCATCTCTTTTACTGCATGAATCAAATTGAAAACCACGAAGGCTTGAATAAACATAGAGCTAGAAGAGATTAAGTCTGAGGAACTAACTGAGCTAGCCTCACCCTGCCAATCCTGTCTGATTTCCAGAACTTGAGATTTCGTATTTGTGAAAAAGGTTGATTCTTTTGTTTTAGCCAGATGCATCCTGAACAGTAAATTCGGAGTATGCAATTTTGGGTTAGAGTGTACCTTATGGCATTGTCGTGTGTTCTGCTTATGATCTATTTGCAAACAATTGGCTCCAGAAAATTGCATTTTTGTACTTGTCTGCTACCTAATTCTGTACATTTTGTTTTCCATTCACATTGTACTGGCAAAACTCTTGTCCTGATTTCCATATTTTTGCAAAAACTTCATGTTCTGGTGATATGAAGAGGTTAGACACGTCATCATTAGACATGTCATCTTCTAAAAGGTTCTTCAGCAGTCTGAGATTTGGCACATCTATGATCCACTTTTTTCCACATGTTTCTCTTAAGAATTATAATGTCTTACACACTCTGCGAAGGGCTGGTTATAACATTTTCTTTTTTCTTAAGTGCATGTTGGTAACAATCATTACAATGTTACACAAGGTTTTTTTGGAACTTCACCTTTCTGTGGAGCCCTATATAGTGTTAGCAATTTTGTTTGTCATTGAAGCCTGGCATGGGAAGCAAAAGACCTCTCATGATCTTTGAGATCAGAGAAAATGTCTTGGCATAATCACTAGTCTATGGGGGGAGGGTAAGAGTACGTCTATATCCTGCAAGAACCAAAATGACACCTTAAGAATATCAGGTCCTATTGAATTTACGAACAAAAAAATTTAAGACGGTTGTTTATTTATTTGCTTTCACAGGTATCAGTTGGATCTTTGTCAGAAAGCCTTGGAGGAAAATGTTATTGTATATCTTGGAACAGGTTGTGGGAAAACCCATATTGCTACATTGCTAATCTATGAGATGGGTCACTTAATAAAAAAGCCACAGAAAAGAATTTGCATATTCCTTGCACCTACAGTGGCGTTGGTTCAACAGGTTATTTTCTATTCTCATTGCCTTTCACATGATAGTTTTATTTCATTATGACGCTGTTTGTTCTTGGTACTGGTTGGCAGCTTTGCAAAACTTTTGGGAAATCCATTGTAATGTGATTGAATGTTGACTTCTGTTGTTTGTATTTAGTTTGGCCTAAATACTTCTAGCAGATTATACAATTAGTAGTCCTAATATCGGCTACATGGAACTGACTATTATTAAAACAATCAGACTCATTTGAAACTAGTGGTGATGCCTATTATGTAAGATATCTTGCAGTTTTAAGAGCATTTTGGTCAGGTTATTGCTTTATCTAATTGATATTACTTACTTGTACACACCTTCTTTCTGAAAACCCAAACTTCTTAAAACAAGGCTGCTTGATGGAGCACAAGCTAAGAATGGTAAATGATCAATACTTTTAATGCACTCAATTGGGTTAAGTCTGTGCTGGTTTTGAAATTTCTTGTCATTTCCTGATGTGCAATCTACCACTCTTCACTTTTAATAGTTTATTGTAAGCATGATCAGTTTGTTCTAAGAAATTTATTCAATATTTGGCGTTAATTTTTACCACTTTTCTTTGATTGAGGATTGTTCACTATTTTATATGTAGTTTCTTACCAATTTTTTTTCTTCGTGATTTTTGTAATTTGAAGCAAGCTAAGGTCATTGAAGACTCCATAGACTTTAAAGTTGGAATCTACTGTGGAAATTCTAAGCGTTTAAGGAGTCATCAGGAATGGGAAAGAGAACTGGAAGAGCATGAGGTTAGTTGATTATGTCATGAGGTACATTTCTGAATATTGCAGCAGGTGTCTTACATGATTTTAACTCTTGTGGCTGCTAGAACTTCTTGGTGAGCTCTATGTTTCAGTCATTGGATAAGGAAAATCTTGATTTTCCTTCTTGTGACTCTTTTTGTCTTCATTGCTTGTTATATACCACTTTAAAAGTGGTTGCCTTTTTTTTTTTTTTTTTTTGGTTTCTTTTTTATTTTTTTTGGTTGTTGTGGGGGGGGGGGTACCACCAGCCCATGCTGCTGCAAGCATGGCAAGGGTGGTTGATTTATCTTATCTTGGATCCTTCGCCTGTTCTTCCTGCTAAATGACTAAAATTTGTCCACATCGTCCTCATTTTGTACTGCTATAATGCAGATCCTTGTTATGACCCCTCAGATTTTGTTACATAATTTGTCCCACTGCTTCATCAAAATTGAGCTGATAGCACTTCTAATATTTGATGAATGTCATTATGCCCAAATTGAAAGCAATCATCCTTATGCTGAAATTATGAAGGTAATGTACTCTAAATATGCTTATAGGTTGTTTGGATTTTTAATTTTTTAATTTTTTTGGAAATATTCCCCTAACGCATTTTCCAACTACATTTGCTTGTCACATACATCACATTCCAAAAAGTGCTACAATTAGTTTTCTAACAATTCTTCAAAAATGCAATCCAAATGGAACTTACTCTCTACTTTTTCAAATTGGTTATTATTATCAGCAGCCTTCTCTCCCTGTATTTTTGCCTTATTACTTGTGTATGGTCTATCATAATGTTTCAGATCTTCTATAAATCAAATGTAGCAGAACTTCCCCGTATATTTGGCATGACCGCATCTCCAATACTAGGGAAAGGTAAATAATCACGTTATTGGCCTTTTCAAGCATGCTTAGGTTCCTAAAGATGTCATGAAAGCGCATCCATGCATTGAATTTTGGGTATATCCTTAGTGGCAATTGTATTTCTAATAATCATTTGGTTGTCATGTATAGTTTTATAGTTTGTCTATCTGAACGTAAGTAATATTTCTTTGTCATGTGACGTGGAAGTAAAGATGGAGCTGTTGATATTTGATCTGCTAATTCGACGAGGTTTGTTGGAGTGACAGTTAGGAAAAGATGAATTAGCGCATAGTTTCAGCTTCTGTTACTTTACACTGGTTCTGCACTGAGATATAGCTCCAGCCTTTTGTACCAAATAACTTTGTTTATCAGCAAAACTTATCAGACCTTATTTGGGGACACCTTTCATATCTAATTCATACCTGTTGCATCTAGTACTATGAAGTTTGTAAATCTGAAAGTGTTAATAATAATTACTCAATTTCGTTGTGTTAGCTCATATGAATGCAAATCATATTCTAGTAAAAGAAATGCTCAACTGTTATCGTGTTCTTTAAGGAGTAAATTAACAATATGAATTCAGACATGAAATTCTCATGATCTGCATGTCTACATGTTCTTTTATTCAATTTTTTGTGAAATTGAAATTGCAGTAGATTCGCAAATTCCTTCATCTGCGTGATTTCAATAACATCCTAAAGAAGTTTTCATCTGAAATTTTCATGGTTACATATTTGTCTGTACAACTTTATCTGAATTTCTACAATTATTTTCCATGCATTTGCTTTGCAAACTTCAAGAGAATTTAGACTCTTAGTTTAAAATCCAAGAATTGGAATCTTGACATTTCAGGATCCTGTGACTGTTTAAATTTGAGGAAATAATGTACTCTTACTTATTTTTTCTCCTTTTAATATTATGCTTCCCATAAATTTTTGTTTGCTGAATATTTCCTACTAATTCGTTCTGTCTTTCATGTTTTTCCATGAAATATGTATTAGTTATAATTGTGAGATGTATCCTGCAAAACTTATATTTTGATGCTTCCACCATATGTCTGCTGATGTTTGAACTTTGAAGTGGTATGCCTACTTCTTTACAAGAATACAATGTCTTTTTGTGAATTACCTTCTCTACCTTAGGATATTCAGCAACTACCTCAAGTACGAATTGGTTTAGTAGAAATAACTATGGAACATGTTGTACATATTAAAGTTTTACATTTTCTTGATCATATTGCAAAGAAAATTTGATTGGCTGTGTAATTGGTAAACTATGCACAAAGGAATCTGTCATGCATGTGATCATAGTGAGGTATTTGAAAGCTTTCTGTACTTGTTTGACTAAAGAAATTGCTCCTTTTTGTACTAACCTTAGTGTAAAATGATAGTACCTTAGTGTAAAATGATAGTATAATGTCAAAGTTGGAATGATTTTGAACTCTGTCTAGTGTTTGTATGGATACTCATTGCAACTTGGACTTATTCTTCTAGTTGGCCTTGGTATGATATTGGTGAGTGCACCGGGATCAGAAGGAAGAATTGTTAGAAATTTATGGTCTTCTTAGGTCACTAATTTCTATTTTTTAAAACTGGAAATGCAAATTACTGATCCAACAGCATCATCTAGTGAAAGATTTAGAAGAAGATTTGATGTTGATTTGAAAGCTCCAATTATTAAAGATCTAAGAGTCTTGAATTAGAATATGCATTTGCACTTTTTTGGTTCAACTAACTGAAGTTTCTTATGCTGATCTTTTGGATCTCATAACATTTAGGTGCTTCTGTTGATGGTCTTGAAACCTTACTACGTGCTAAAGTAAGTTGTATGATTAGCTGCATATTTTTGCAAATATGGTTTTATGTCTCTAGCATTAGCCATACAGCTGTGTTTATATACCCTTTTGTACTCAACATTCTGCATATTCTTCAGCTTTTCATTGTCTTCCTTTTTGATTCATAGGTTTATTCTGTTGAAGATGTTGATGAACTTGAGCAATTTGTTGCTTCACCTAAGCTTAGGATATATTATTATGATCCTACTATAATTAGCTCTTCTTGTGCTCGTATAAGCTACCATGAGCAACTTGAGATGATAAAGCACCAGGTATTCCACTTTAACATTTTAAGTTTGTAATTGTTGTCTTCTTCTTCTGTCTCCCTCTTTTTTTTCTTGAAAAAAACTTATGATTACAAAATATTGGTGGTTTGGCAGTGTGTGTCTGATCTAACCCGGAAAACTGGTGATCATAATACTCTTAGGATTACCAAAAAGATGCTACAGAGGCTGCATGGTAATATCATGTTTAGTTTGGAAAACCTTGGTCTTTGGGGATCTTTACAGGTACACTATCATGATGTTTCAAATGATGTTATTTTCTTCATGTATTGTATCATTCTTTATGTAGTTCCCTATAATGTTTATGCATATCTTTTTGTGATTGCTTCTATTTGTTTCAAATCACATGCTGAAGCTATTGAAAATTTTGACATGAAGGCATTAACTCTATCTTGTGCTACTTTTCAAAGGCAAGTTGTATCCTTTCGAAGGGTGATCACTATGAGCAAAATGAAGGGACAGATGCAGAAGAGAGTTCTGCCGATAACTCCTTATGTGACAGATACTTAACTGAAGCTTACTCTGTTCTTGCTTCTGCCTGTAGGAAAGGTACTTCAACAGTTTGCTCAGTGACATCTATGTCATTCTCGCTTATCACTATAACATTCATGGCTAGTTGATTTACATTGTTTTTCTATGCTTAACAACTATGTCACTGGATAATGTTGTTGAATACAAAAGAAACTTTTGCCTTTTCACTTTTAATGCTTTGAGATATAATTATGATATCATTTTGTTTGGATAAGCTGAATCTGTTCGATAATATTGATGGGGTCTGCTTCCTTCATGCAGATGATGTCGCACCTGATTTATCCCTGGTGGAGTTCCTGAAGGAGCCCTTTTTTTCAAGAAAGCTCTTACGACTTATTGGAATTCTTCGCACCTTCAGGTTGGTAAGCAGTCTTACTGTGTCATATTGAGAAATCAATTGTTGCAAAGTTTACAAATTTCTATTGAATGAGAAATAATGGAGTCAAACATTAGGGTCAGCTTGTGATGCATAGTGATTAAGATGGCATAATATCATCCACAAACAGTACATTAGCCCTGTATATTGATACTTTGAATTGCAACATTATTGGTCAACATTATTCAGTATCTGGTTTAGTGTATCCTTTCTGGACAGCAAAAAGCACTTCTCTTTCAAAAATAGAAAAGGAGAAGAAATAAGGAAAAGAAAAGGACATAGTAAAAACATACATCTATTTTTTTATAGTCATTTTTTGTTATTCATCTAATTGTCTGTTGTAAGTAAAAGAATAAATGCAAATTTACTTACCTATTTCATCTTTACTGATTTGATCTGTGATGTTTGTCAGCCTTAGAACTCTCATTGTGGCTTTTCAGGTTACAGCCAAACATGAAATGCATAGTGTTTGTCAACAGGATTGTGACTGCCCGGTCCTTGTCATATATACTTAAGAACCTTAAATTCTTGTCTTCTTGGAAGTGTCATTTCCTTATAGGAGTCCACTCTGGACTGAAAAGTATGTCTCGAAAGACTACAAATGCTATTCTTGAGAAGTTTCGATCTGGTGAGGTAATATACTCTAATTTTATTGTCACAGAAAGTGTTTTAGGAGCGTGCTAGAGTTTCCTTCTGTTTATAGTTTGATTTGTGCATTGGCGGTTACTTTGTAATTTCAAAACTAAAGTCGATCACTTTTACATCAAGTAAAGTAGGTGATTTGATGTGTGGATAAATGTACATATTTTCTATTTGGCAGCTTAATTTATTAATTGCAACTAAGGTGGGTGAGGAAGGACTTGATATACAGACTTGCTGCCTTGTAATAAGGTTCGATCTTCCAGAAACTGTGGCCAGTTTCATACAATCTCGAGGTCGTGCAAGAATGCCGGAGTCCGAATATGCCTTTTTGGTCAACAGGTGCTCTTTTGAAATATGCGCCATTAGCAAAGTTATTTTCTATAGAACGTTCATCACAATAATTTTGTTATTGCAGTGGCAATGAAAAGGAGATAAACTTGATAAAACATTTTGTAAAAGATGAACTCAAGATGCATCAAGACATTTCGTCAAGGAAATCTCAAGTAACAATGACTGATTTTGAAGAAAAAACATATCAGGTGGATTTGACCGGTGCCACTATCAGTTCAGCATCTAGTATATCGTTGCTTCATCACTACTGTTCAAAGCTTCCACATGATGAGTATGCTCTGAATGCTTTGCTTGTAATGCAGCAACACTTTCTCTTCGATCGTGAGAGTAAATATGAAATTCTGCACTGAATTTATCAATTGACTCTATCTGCTCAATTGCAGATATTTCAACCCAAGACCACAGTTCTTCTATTTGGATGAGGCAGATGGAATGGTTTGCCTTATAATTCTACCATCAAATGCTCCAATCCACGAGATTGTGAGTGCTTCACAAGTTTCATTCGAAGCAGCTAAAAAAGATGCATGTTTGAAAGCATGCAAGACTCTGCACGAAGTCGGAGCTCTAACTGACTATCTCCTGCCAGAACAAGATAGTGGCAGTGAGGAAACAGACGATAATTTCTCTGATACAGAGAACTGTGATGGTTAGGGGACATTGGCATATTGAAGTTATTTTGTCATGTGATGTTTTGTTTACAACACAGTTTAAAAATCCTAGTAATTGGAATTTTCTTGCAGATGATGATTTGCGGAGAGAACTGCATGAGATGCTGATTCCTGCAGCCCTTAAAGAAACCTGGACTGAGCTGAAAAATTCTGTTTCCCTTTGCACTTACCATTTTAAGTTTTGTCCTAATCCCATAGATAGACTTTACAGGGAGTTTGCTCTTTTTGTCAAATCACCTCTGCCAAAAGAGGCTGAGAAAATGAAACTTGATCTTCATTTGGATCGTGGTAGATCTGTCTTGACTGAGCTTGTTCCATATGGAGTAGTAAAATTCACTAAAGATGAGGTAAAATTTATTATCTTGTTGTTCTTGTTTTTCCATCTAGAAGTCGAAATTTAGAGGCTTATTCACTTGTTTAAATTTCAATTATTAGCTGGTGCAAGCAGAGAAATTCCAAAGAATGTTCCTCAAGGTGATTCTCGATCGATCAGAGTTTACTTCTGAATTTGTATCACTGGAAAATAAAACTGGCGATCCAATCTCGTCAACATCTTACCTGTTACTTCCTATACTTCTTAACAATAACAACAAGGTTTCTGTGGATTGGAAACTTGTTGAGAAATGTTTATCCTCATCAATCTTTGGTGCTCCAAAATGTGCTGGACATGATGAAAGTTCTCAGGACAAAAGACAGTTGCATCTTGCAAAAGGAATCAAGAGTGCAGAGGAAGTTGTAAACAGTTTGGTATATGTACCGTGCAAGGACACATTCTTTTTTGTTTCTGACATTGTTTATTACAAGAATGGATATAGCTCAATCAAGGATTCCAAGAATCATCTAGACCTCTACATGGAAAAGTAAGCAGCATCTTTTATTCTTTTGAGAATATGGGAACTTCCTGTAAAATTCTTATAATGTTACATAGGGCTGCATATATATTGCTGTATGTAAAACAAAGTTGATCTGTAATTCAGTATTTTTCTTGTGAATGTTAAGGAGAGGAATGTTAGTACAACTAAAATACCAGGGAGGTTAGTTTGATTGTTAATGAACATGTGCATGGCTAATCACCTATCACAGAGGGTGAATATACCAAGGATCTCAATCTGAAATTTATTGGCATCATGACAAGTTGTTGACTTTTGCTTAAAAGTTTGTGTAAAAGTTTGCACTGTCTTTTACTATATGCTTCATGAGTATGCGACTGTCTGTCTTTTACTAAGAATAGCATGTAAGAATTTGACTGGTACCCACTTAAAATCTTTATGCTCGAAATGGTTTCTTCATGCCATCATCTGTTCATATTCTCTGGCCTTTACAATGTCCTGTAATTTATTTCCCAACTATTTTCTCATTTCAGTTATTGATTATTGTGATAGGTTTAGCATTCAGCTTTGTTATCCTCATCAACCACTTTTGAAAGCAAAACAAGTATTCTGCTTGGACAACTTACTGCGGAAGAAAGGGTATTCAGGTAGTTATCATTTCAGTTTCCTAATTGAATTATTCATGCGAATCAAGTTCAGTGGTGTGACTCCAGTAATTAAATCTTCTCTGTTATCAGTGAATTGTGACTATCTCTTGTTTCAGCTTGTAGTAGTTTTGCAGTTTTGTATCGGAAGGCTGGCCTTGAGATTTATGTAGACTTTTCCTGAGCATTTCTATGTCATAACCACTAACATCTTTTCTTGAATGGTCCTATTTGAACCAGAAATGAGTTATTATTGATGAGCAATTTTGACATGCTGCTGACCTACAGTCGTTTTACCACTCACCAATCACTTGCAAGTTGGTAGCAGTTAAGTCATACCCATTTATGTTTCACAACCTTACGAGTTCGGAGTGAGCTGTTCTATTTCTCAGCACTAGTCTCACCTTGACGATGGTGGAAGTCATGAATTCTAGCCTTCTTATGCTTTAATAATGGGAAGTCTTTCACATGGTTTGTCTCCGTGTCAGGAGTCTATGCGTGTGGGATAAGATGCCTGTAGCATTGATGTGAGTGGGTAGGGATGTTTATATCTGTTGGAACAAACTTCAGAAAATATAAAGGACATGGATGCCTCATCTGCTGTCTACAAACTATAGAGCCATTAGTATGGCAACTATGAATCTCAGGGAATGCTTGATCTGAGGTGGCAAAATGATCCTTGGCAAGATCGTAGCTGCACAGAGTTATTTTTCGGCTGGACACGTATAAGCAAACCACCACATTCTGGTGAAGTCCTTGCACAATCTCAAAGTTAGTGTCACCTAAGCCAAACCTTTGCTGGTGGAAATTTAGCTGCCATATCTCTCTCCTTCCTCCATTTTTGATTTGCCTTCCTTGCAGTACTAGAAATATTCACAGCATGTACCTCCTTCCATCCTCTTGGATACTCATGCACAATGTTCCAAACGCGATGTGAATGTTTCTAGAGTGTGCTTCTCTCTTCCTGTTTCCATTTGTAAATTTTAAATCTCCAACATCATAGCCTTCATCAAGACGTCTCCACTTCAATTTGTTGGTTCCTTTTGGTAAGATGCTGCAGATAATGAACCAGAATAAATAGGTATGTAAGGAATGCACCAATCAGGGCTCTTTTACATTTTAGGCTATAGATTAGATTAGATTTTGATGATTTTATCTTTAGCTGCCTGTTGATATGGTTTTTAATCTACTACATGTGCTAAAATTGTGGAAAATTTTCTAAAGACCTGTAAGCATAGGGGTGCAGTTCTTGCTGCTCGATAAACATGGCTGACCTCGTCTGCTGTCATGACAAAATCTAAGATGGCTTCATTATGAACAATAGTGTTGTAATTAAAAAATGATTGGTGAATGAACCCCGAGAGAAATAAAAAATTGAACTACTACTTCTGGACTTCATTACATACTGTTTTCTGTCTTTACAAGGTAAATCATCACACTATTGCTAAATGATGACTAGATCATGTACTTCTTTGCAGCTGACTTTTTACTGTATGTAATTGACATCCTTGATTGGGCTTTACTGGTGTTAGGAGTTGTCGTAGTTTACGTCGTCTTGATAATGACTTTTGAGATTGAACTAATAATCTAATTCTTCTTCTTGTGTCATTCTGTTGTCAGCTTGCAAAACTTATGTAAACAGTCTGTCTTTCAGAACGGGGATTTGATCAGGCTAAGAAGTCTCTGTTTTGCTCTTTCCTGTTGATCTTTGTTCTGTTGCACATTTGCTTGCTTTTATTTGCTTGCTTTCTTGTGTTTACATACTGATACTTTGTGAGACCCTTCTTTGTATTAGTTTAAAGTTTTTAATTTCTAAACACTTTCTGTTTCCCCTTCATTCTCATTTCCACGTCATTCCATAGAAATTTTGATCCCATTCCTTACACGTGTCTATCTAGACTAAAACTGTACTTAAAGGAAATGTTCATATATGGTAAACACAAAGATGTCTAATCAGAACTCAGCAATCCAAGGTGCAAAGCTGATATATTATGGCCGTTAAAAACTTTCTGCCTGATATGGTTTTATGCTTTTTACGCAAGTAAATGAACCACTTTTGATTGTCCAATCTAGCCATCAACTAGAATTAGCTTAACATAGAACTTGGTGAGCAAGCATATGAACTCCTTAGACGTCGTTCCTGTTACAAATTTCGCAACATTCTGCAATTAAAGCAATGGGAGATTTAATTGATTCAATTACAAATTTCTGTTGATCTTCGGAATGCAGTGTTATTGCAGCTAACCTATAGATGTAAAGAGGGGTCATAATATGTTCTTTTTAGGTAGGTTATTGTCCTTAATATAAGAATGTTGCTTGGCCTTTTTTGTCCTTATCTTCTCCGTATAAAGATTTGATATAATTGAAAGACATTATGAGTGTCTCATTTATTTCTCCTACTTATTTTCTTTGTACATTTCTACAACTATCTTATAACTGTTCAACTGCTATATATATAGGATAGCTAGCCTTCTTGAACTCCCTGCACCACTTCCCAGCTTGCCCTTCCCCCCCCCCCCCCCCCCCAAAAAAAAAAGAACAGGACCCCTGACAAGAAGAAAAGAAAGAAGAAAGATTGATGAGAAAATGGAATGTTAAAAGTGACCTATTCTGAGATTCTGGATTGTTGTTTATCAATGTTTTATGAGCAGAAGTACGTGAGAAAGAGGAGCACTTCATTGAGTTACCTCCTGAGATTTGCCAGTTGAAGATAGTTGGGTTTTCAAAAGATATTGGGAGTTCATTGTCATTGTTACCTTCAATTATGCACCGTCTGGAAAGCTTGCTTGTGGCAATTGAGCTGAAGAACAAATTATCTGCTTCATTTCCCCAAGGAGCAGAAGTTACTGTTCAGCGTGTATGGCTGTTGTCTCTCTTACTGTTAGTGAAGGGTTGTGTTCATCACATCTAGCACTCATGTCACCTTCTCCACGATGGCTAATTTATAATAAGCTAGATACAGCATGAACATGATAAAAGAATGTGCTTTGGTGATGGGTACTTTGGAACTGCAGGTTCTTGAAGCTCTTACAACAGAGAAGTGCAGTGAGCACTTTTCTCTTGAAAGGCTGGAGGTGCTTGGTGATGCATTCCTCAAGTTTGCAGTTGGTAGACGTCTATTTCTTTTGCACAACTCCCTAGATGAAGGACAGCTGACAAAAAAGCGGTCTAACATTGTCAACAATTCCAATTTACTCAACCTGGCTATGAGAAAGAATTTGCAGGTGATTGATTATATTGAATAGACTTTAAGATATAAGATTGTATTTGTTGAAGGAAATTATCCAAAAGGAAATAAAAAAATAGAATGAAAAGAAAGAAGGCTTCTCTGTGTAGTTGATACTGGAATCGGAAGCTGACAGTTATGTGCACAAATTATGGCTGTGTTTTCCAAACATGCACTCTTTATTAAAGTATAATGGTGTTAGGTCATTTGATGATCTTATAAGTCGTGGCTTCAATCTGATAGTGGGCAGTGAATGTTAAGATTGGACCATGTTTAGGTCTTTTTGCCTTCATTCTACTGGTAGTCACTTAGGGGTCAAAAGAGGAACAGAGGGGAACGAGTTATCCAGTCATATACCAAAGAAGAGGGAAAATGATGCACTCTATTAATTTCTACTGAATCTTGAGTCTGACTGGTTACTTTGTGCATCTATGTCCTGCTTTGTTCGTTAATTGATATGGTGGAAAGTACTTGTGGCATTTCCTCTGGTATAGTGCAAAAATCTCTGCCTTCCATGGAGTATGTGAGTGGTAGCCAAGCTCGAATACCACATAATCACCTAAGCATTACATGGGAACAGCTGCTTAGGGGAATTGTTGTGAGTGAAACTTGTGTACCACTAACCAACCTTGGCTGATTATGTCGGAACATGAGATAGGTGCATACAGCATATAAAGTCGTGAAATCGTGTGTGTCAACTAATAACATTACGGGAAGGAGAAAAAGATGTCTGTGTTGGTCAATCAGAATGTGTCCTATAGTTGCTCGCTTGGAAGTGTGAAATTGAAGTTTATGAAGAGGTTCTTGTTTTCATTCTCACCTAAAATTTGAATGTGACTGACTTACAGTTAAGAACGGAGCAAACACCAGTCATGGGCTATTTTGGTTTTTAGAATTAAGCGTGCATCATTATATATGCAAGTCTGATCATGTATTTATGAAGCATAAGATTGTAACTATTCTGTAACCTACTGCTTTTACAAATTGAACAATCCTATCTTGCTTTATTTATTTATTTGTTTTTCACATTCTTCTGATCTGTATTTTACCATTTTCAAGGCAGAAAACTTGAAGAAATATAAAATTTACTAGTAACTATTGCCTTGTCTAGATTTTTATAAGTTTGAAGCTGAAATACTTAGCATTGGGCATTGCTTTAGCGAAACAGATAATTTAACCTTCTTTTATACCTATTTATTGATTTGAGATAGGAGGAGCTTACTTTAACAAATTATTGCTTTCTCAAAATAACAAGTTCTTCATTTGGATTATTCTTCATAATTGCTTTTGATGTCTGTGCATATTTCAGGTATATATACGTGATCAATCATTTGAACCCAACCAATTCTTCGCTGTGGGTCGTCCTTGTCCTGTAATTTGCAGCAAGCAAACAGAAAATGCAATACACTCTCATGCAAGTTCGGTGAATGATGTAAATACTGAGGTTCGATGCAGCAAATGTCATCATTGGTTGTACAAGAAAACCATTGCTGATGTGGTTGAGGCTCTTATTGGTGCATTTTTAGTTGATTCTGGCTTTGGAGGAGCAACTGCTTTCCTCAAGTGGATTGGCATACAAATTGATTTTGAAGAGTCACAACTTCTTAAAATCTTCAATGAAAGCAAAAACTTTCTCCCTTTAGCCAATCAGATAAATATAACTGCCCTTGAGAATCTACTAGGGTATAAGTTTAGGCATAAAGGTTTGCTCATTCAGGCATTTGTCCACCCTTCCTACAACAACCACTTGGGAGGTTGCTACCAAGTAAGTATTGCAATTTTATCAACTTTGGTTACGTGTTGTTTAGTCATATCTGTTAACTACTGTCTGACATGTTTTGATACTAATAAGTTGTTTGACCCAGAGACTTGAGTTTCTTGGAGATGCCATGTTGGATTATCTGATTACATCCTATTTATACTCAGTGTATCCCAAATTGAAGCCTGGTCAACTGACAGATTTGAGATCTGCATCTGTGAATAATACTTCATTTGCTGACATTGCTATTCATTGCTCCTTCCATGAATTTATCATTTGTGATTCTAGTGCACTCTCCAAGTCTATGGAGCAATATGTCAGCTTCACACAAACAACAGAAAGAGGACAGATTGACGAGCCAACTTGTCCAAAGGTGATGCTAAACGTCATTATTTCATGCATTGTAAAGTCAATTCGCCGCACATGGCCTCTGTATAAATCATTTAAAATTTTCTTCTAGTATTTGTTGGAAATTTATTGACATTTTAATGGAGAGTGGCTATAGCAACCATGACTATTTAGATTTTAGAATAAATGTTTTAAATCAGATGGAAAAAAGATAAACAAAGAAGTCAAAAAGGAATCAGGAGACTATGTACTGATCAAGAAAAACAAAAGATTAGGATCTGATTAGGGACCACTGCTCATGTTCTATAGTCAGATAGTCAAATTGATACTTTAATAATTAATTTGTAAAGAAATATGTACCACATCCATGAAGCATAAGGGGAGCTCCTTTTTCTTTTAACATCTGTTTTTAAAAAAATATATATAAATACTGAAGACCCTGTGATCTTAAAGTGCAGTCATAGGGACTTTCAACTGTCCTTTTTAGGCTTATTATACTGTGGTAAACTGAAGTACTTAACTGTTGCATATTAACTTTAAGCTTTAATGAATGTTCTGAATTTGCATAGCTTATTTCTTTGTGATACCTTTTCTTCTAAGATAGTGTGAATATTAAATTTCTTATAGTTGTGTGCAATCATTGAAAATTTCAAATGTGTCTTTTTTATCCACATTTTAACCGCTGAAATTTCTCGACTCTCTTTGCTATTCCTCACTATTCTGGAAAACCAGCCTTTCTGTGCACTACTCTGGCCCATGCTTTTCTTTAGTAGAGGAGCAATCAAATTAAGTAGATTGAAAATTGTATTGACATACTTTGAATTGCAATTAGGACTTATGACCAATATCGGAATTCTTTTCTTTTTGCACATTCAGTGCAGTTTTAAGTCTAGTAGTTTCCTGCATGGAAAATTTTGACTACTCAAAACCTTAAATATGATTGGAATAAGGATCAAAACCTTGATGCTTGGAAGTTGAAAGGATATATGGCTGACTTCTAATATATTAGTGTTCTTTCTTCCTCTTCTTTTTATTTCTTGTCTTTGTATAATGGAAGGGCACACCCGCAAATCGGTCAGCTACTTCCAGGTGCTTAGACCACACCAGAAGACCCACAACCCTGGTTGCCCAACTTAAGCTTTGTGATGGGCCCCAAGGAGTTGCTCCTTGTGGGAACAGAACCTTCAACCTCATGCTATTGAAGCAATTTTCCTTGCTTATTACCGTCCTGAACAACCCCTTGAGATTATTGTTCTTTCAGTTTTCCTTATTGCCGGAAAGCAAATTCGGAATGAATATGAAAACAAACACTTGCTTCATCCAAGCAGTGATGGATGAAAATTATTTATGTGATTTTCTCAGCATTTTGAGGCTGTGAGTACTTTGTGGTTGCCAAGTAGTATGTGAAGAAATGATTTTGTGGTGGGAAATAGCTTAAAGTATTAAATTGCCTCTCTATATTTGAAGTCTCCACACTTGACCTCACTCTGGATCACCGTATTCTTTCAGGCCCTGGGTGACTTGGTTGAGTCTTGCATGGGTGCCATTCTTCTTGACACAGGGTTCGACTTAAATTGTGTCTGGAAGATAATGCTTTCCTTGTTAAACCCTACTATGAGCTCTTCCAAGTTGTGGATTAATCCTATTAGGGATCTTCAGGAACTTTGCCAGTGTCATGGCATGGATTTGCAGTTTTCAGCGTCAAGGAAGAGTGGAATATATACTGTTCAATCAAAAGTGACTTCAGGAGATTTGATTATGAATGATTCTGCAACTAACATCAGCAAAAAGGCTGCCAAAAGAATGGCTGCAAAACAACTATATTCACGTTTAAAGGTACTTTATCTAGTGAACTTTGGTTTTTATGCTACTAAAAGGTCACTATCGTGTGGTTTTGGTTCTCTCTCTCTCTCTCTCTCTCTCTCTCTTTTCTTTTGGGGTTTAATTCCCATGGCAACTTTCATACCTATTTTACTATGCCTCACCATTGTGAAATTTGTCAGGAAAACTAAACATTAGAGCAAATAGGGCATGATAATAAGTATATACTTTTTAGTTGTTAGGCTTGGTACAACTATATGTAGGTGTGAACTAGATATTTCAGCCTAGATTGTAGTAGCATCATAGATATGCTCTTGCCAGTCCTTAGAGAAGCTTCTATTAACTCTATTATGAGTCTAATTTAATAAAGGTTAAAAGCATTGGAGCCACCAATGTTAGCAAAGTTAGTCATCAAAGTCTTTGATGTGTCCATCTTAAGTACTGGCATATTTGAGAAATGTCTTTACAGTTTTATTTATATACTGGATTGAACTATAAGATTATCAATGCAGATTGAATTGTGATCCAAAAATACTTGATTTTTTCTGAATATGATACTCTAGGTTTAAAAATATCACAATGGAATTCCTGGATGTCAGGTGAACTGAAAGTGGTTTATGTAATTTAAATCCTATGAGTAAAATGTGGCTGTTGTGGAGTTCCTTGTAGGTGCTTGAAGTCTGGCTTTGAAGAGCTTGTTTCTTGTTCTGCTCTTCAGCGTGGTGTGTCTGTCTAGTGGTTGGAGGGCTCAGTACAAACATCTTTCTTGCTTCAATGTTTTAAATGGCCTAATTTCTTGTCTGATTCGCACTTGGCGAGCTCAATCAGTGATTCCAGACTAGTTTGCAGTAGAGGATATGACTTCTTGATTTAAATTTAGGTTACACTTCGTGGTTGATGGATCTTTTTAGCATCCATTCAGGACTAGCTTGCTCTAAAGGAGCCAAGGTTTACTTGTATATGTTAGTTGTGGTGGTTCTTCCTTCCTTTTTGAAGTTCATAAATCTTTTATCAATCAGGATTTTGGCTAGTTTTGAGCTTTTGAGCCTTTCTACAAGGTCATAATAGTGCTTAGTGATTATCAAATATGCAGGCTGGTGGTTACACTGCCAAGTCGAAGTCATTAGACGAAGTGCTAAAAGAAACTGAAAAGATGGAAGCCCAATTGATTGGATTTGATGAGAAGCCTTCGGTTGTTAATGCTAAATTTGACGACTTCAGGGTGCAAGAAGAAGCTTCTGAAACTGAAAATGGCTTGAAGGTGTATCCCCTGAATGAAGATCCTGGAAACGACTATAACTCAAGCCACAAGCACACAAGGCAGATTGTGGCTCCATACAATGCTTCGCGATGGCGGCCTACAGGGGCCACTAAAAGTCTAATATGCAATCCTGATTCACGGGAAGCAGGTACTAATGCGAAATCTTCAGCTTCCACAATAAACAGTTTTCATCTGTTGTCTCACTTGAATAAAAAATGTAGGTGGTATGAGTACTGGATCACCCAAGTCACGCTTGTATGAAATTTGTGCCACCAACTATTGGGGATCGCCTATATTTGAATGCTTGAAGGAGAATGGGCCGAGCCACCTGAAAGAGTAAGTGAACCTTTTTATTACCTCAGTTTTAGAGAAGGTTTGCATTGAGTAATAGTAAGAAATCTGGATGGTAAAATAATGGATGAAGTAGTTTGGATTAAAGTTACGTCAAATAATGTGAGTGCTCCCTCTGTCTCACTTCATACATGATTTTATGCCATCAGCAAATGTAGATATATGCTTTCAGAGTTATGGGGCAAATTTTAAAGAGACGTGCGTTTTGTTTATCTTGGGATTTAGCAGGGAGGGGCTTTCTTCTGTTAAGAGACCGGAGGCTGGAGATGTGCCATTTTTGGAAAGACAACATATAGTTAGAAGCTAAAAAGCCGTAGTCTTGGTACTCTAATTATGAGACCAACGACAAGGGTAGACCAATAGCCACTTGTAGCGCTCCAGAAGCCTTGCACCTTTCCCCTGCCTTCTGGTTCTTCCCTTGTGCCAAAATAGGGAGTTGCTATTATACAGTAGTTTCTTTAGTTTGATGTTTCCTGTTAATCAATCAACTTTATTTTTCTTGTTTTTTGTTTCTCGGGACAGGGAGCGTTCATATAGGTTTTTATGCATTAATCATGACACCTTTGAAGTTCGCATACCAAATCCCAAGTTAGATAATTTTTTGGTCAAATTTCAATCGCGTCGAAATATTGAGTTTGGCTATATGTTACAGATACACGTTCAAGGTGGTGGTGGAAATTGATGACGCCTTGAATCAAGTACTGGAATGTTGTGGGGTGCCCCGGCCAAGAAAGAAGGATGCTGAACAGAGCGCTGCTGAAGGGGCGCTCTGGTGCTTGAAGCATGAACGTTATCTATGGCACCAGAACTGAGGGCCCAAGGACCTAAAATATTCATTTTGTGATTTGTTCCCACGATTGTACATGAAACTGTTAGTACGAGGCATACATTTCCGTAGTTACAGATATGTTACATTTCCTTTTGTATCTCTATATATACATGTAAAATCAGGTGCAAGGGGGGAAAAAAAATTAAACATACTGCTTCATTCATTAATTTACCAAGTAAATTTTACTCCAAGTCCTTCTGTAGCTCTATATGTACTGTGTTTTTTTTTTTTTTTTTAATTATTTTCCAAGCACGGGAAAGATAGGACTTAACTAGAACACTTATTTTTCTCCTTCAGTTTATGTTACAAATTTCTTTTTTAACCTTGAAAAAACCACCTTATGGCATACATCTACTAGGGAAAGGCCGAACATTTGCATTGATCATCTAGTTTACAGGGTTACCACCTAAACTATAATATGAATGATGCCGTGCTACGGTTCTTGAGCATAAATTCTTTCTTTCTTTATACTTGTGAGTGGTGATCATTTTGACTTTGATTTTGAGTTTGGCTTTTTGGAAAGCAGGAACATAGGGTATTGGATTTTCAGACTTGTGCTCTGTTTTCCTATTCGTAACTTGTTGCTTTTTCTTTTGCTCATGATCCATGACTCATCCACAAACATGCTAATGACCCGTGATGAAAATGAAACTAATCTTAATCGGGCAATTTGGACTTTAATGATCTCTAATGATATCGGTTATCTTGATAGAAAGCTTCAGCACGATTAAGATTAGTAGCAGCGCGTTTTTTAGAGAATTAATTAGTACTAATATACTGCTACATTCTAGGGTAATCTTTCTTATTTTTCTTGCCGAACAATAAACTACTCTGTTTTATTTCGAAGAAAATACTAGTAGTTAGTATGGTCGAGTGCATGATGATGAGGATTAGAATGCTTTTGGTCTTCCATAATCAATTAATGTAGGGGTGTAAACCATGTTGGCCGAGGTTAATTCGTGGAGACAAGAAAAGTGCCTTATTTTCTTCAAAAATAAGCCTGCCTGCTTGCCCTACTAACTAAAAATAATGATGCCCATTCTGTGAAGTGGTCTCATTCCGGCTGTCGGGGAATTAAGTCATGTATCCCATTAAAGATGCTTATGATAAGGTCTTGTACGCCTTGTTTGGATGGTAGTTTTTCGCACAAAATTTTTTTTGTTAATATATTTTTAATTAATTTTTTCCCTCGTATACTATAAATCAAATTATTATAATATATTTTTATAAATAGCAGCAATCCAAACTAGCTACTGGGTGTGCCTTTTTTTTTGGTTCCTCTCCTCCCTCCCTCCTTCTTTTCTATTAAAAAAAAAAAAAAAATTCAATGAATTCGATTCTGATTATCATTACAAGAAGTTAGAATATGACTTCAAAACCATGGCTTCGACTTCAATCAAAATATATCTCTAAAATTATAGGTCACTGATATGAATTCTTACAAATTACGTATCAATACAATCTTTCAATCCAATTCTCACGTTTATCGCAAGATTCAGACATATGATTTTTTTTTTTATGAGGAGAGGAACTGACCTACTTGTATCTCCCTCTCTCTTAATGAACGCATTGTCGGCCTGTTATCACTCCTTGAAGTCAACCGATAAATGGGGACAGAGCATGTCCATTTCAAAATCCCATGTCCCATGTTATATGCACAGCCTAACCTCACTGTGTATATACAGTAGTTGTATTTTATTTTATTTTTTATTCATGATTCCATCTAAATTCCGAATATTTTGTGCATCGCAACAACCCCGATGAACAGCTCCTACGTTGAGGTTTACAAAATTCATCAGATAATTAACAAGAAAAACTCTTCTAGCAAGGGGTCAAGTAAACAAGTTTTCGACGCCCCATGCCATGACTAGTTTGAATCGAAAGCCAATTCTCTTTTTTTTTTTCCAAGCCCAAAGGACTTTTGATATTTTGACAAACTTAAATCCCGTGAAAGCCCACAAAAATCGGCAACTTTTGAGGGTCTCACAGGAGACTTATCTACTCTATCCCAAATCTCCTAAACCCCGATGTGGGATATCAACTTCCACAAGGGAGCCTGCCTCGAAGGGCGAGACCTAACTAGACCCGATACTCCCCTGGAAAATGAGGCTGATGTCTTTTTTTTCAAGTTCAAAGGACTTTTGATATTTTGACAAACCTAAACCCCGTGAAAACCCACAAAAGCCGGCAACTTTTTAGGGTCTCTAATCGAAAGCCAAATCTCGAGGTATCTAATCGCGCAAGTGCCGCCTCGCCTCTATTTGGGTCTGGCAAGTGATTGCGTATCAAAGTGAACTTTCCTAAGCCCATTTTTGTTTTTTGAGGTATCTAATCACGCAAGTAGTGGCCCCACCTCTATTTGGGTCTAGCAAGTGATTACGATTTAAAAATGGATTTTCCTAATTGATGCTTGACAGGCATTGATTAACATACTTAATTGGTATATAATTTGTCATTTAAATACAGATACTTGCGTGTATTATCCTACTGCACTTAACAAATTATTTTTCAAAAAATTAACACCTAATACACATTTCAACAACCACTGCCCCATAATGGACAAACTTAATATTGTATCATGTTATGGTCAGTCTAGCCATTACAAGATATAATCACATAAAAAAAAAATAACACATGAATATTGATAAGGTCTTCATAACCAACGCCTCTTAGGCTGGCGGGCAGAGGAAGGGAATCAAAGCCCTTCTTCGGGTGGGAGAGCAAAAAGAAAAGATAAGGTCTTAATTTTGTGACTAAAACTGAGATTCCAATAAAGATTATTAGATGCTAGGACTATCAATGGGACTGAGCTAACTAGAGCTCGGCTCGTTCAACCCGAAAAAAAATTCGATGAATCCAACCTTTTAATGAGTCGATATGAGTTTTTTAGGCTCAAACTAAATATGAGCCGAGTTTGAGTCTCATTAAACTCAAATCCAATATAAGCCCGACTCTTAAATTACCTGTATATATAATGATATATATATAATATTTTGTATTTTGATATTATATATAATTATATATATAAATTATAAAACATAAAAATACATTTGGAGACTCTTCTACTAGTTTTCTCGAGAGCCAATATTGGTAATGCATAACTGAAACTTTAACTTTTTTTATTGGTTGAATAAATTTTTGTGTTGGCATAATAATAGTTGATTTCTTTTTTATCTGGAAACATAAATAATCAAACATGTTTGGATTCAAGTCACCAAATAATGAAGAAATTCCAACATTTGAAGATATATTGGTTTATAACCGCATGTTTTATTACTATTTTTATGTATTTTGAATGAATTAGATATAAATATTATTGAAAAATTCTTGATTCATATACTTTTAAGACCTATTATTTGTTTATGTTTAGTTTTAATGTTGTTGTCCTGTGAATGTTAAATTTACTTTACAACTCGATAGTTATAGTAATTATATTACGAAAATTGAGGAGTAGTAAGTGAATTTGGATTAAATCCGAATAAAGTTTAAAACTTGAATATTTTGTGAATTTAGTATGATCATCACATTTATTAATTCGAAACTTATGACCTGAAATCCGAAAGTACTACAAATTAAATGAGTTGAACATGAACTTATGAAAATCCGAATCATATATTTCGATTTACAGGCCTACTAGAGGTTTTAAATTTAAAATTTTCTTTTGCCTCTTGACCCCTTAAATCTCACCTTCTGTACTGGAAAAAAAAAAGGTTTTAAAAAAATATTAATAACTGAGTTGGCCCCAGTTCACCGGCTCACCTAACGGCCTGTGTGTAGTGTGATTGGCTGCAGTCATTTGGTGATAATCAATCAAAGGGTACTTTCGGAAAAGTATTTAATGCGCTGACAAGTACGCTTTCTCTCCAGCCATAAGTGGGAAGTAGTGGCCCAACCTGGCCTACCACACTGCTCTCCCTTTGGCCTTTACCAGCCATATCCACCAACTCTTTTACTTTCTTTCTCCAGCACAATTTCCACACCATCTTCGCCCCCACCCCAACTACCACAAAAAAAAAAATTGCCAAAAATTACCAATGTTTTAGTTTAATCTGATACGTATTGAACTTAGACGTATAGCAAGCGCGTATCACCACGTCCCATGGACCCTGGCATGGGATTTCGCTCCCGTACAAACACTTTTTATGTCTTCGGCAGATCGTACATTTCTCTTGAAGAAGCAAAAATTTATTAACGCCAATGCAGCAAAGAAGGGAAGACAAAACACAAGGTGATTTTTCATTAATTTGATACCTATTTGAGTTAGCACGATGAGGAATGTTCTGCGAAAATCACTTTGAATTAGGATTCGTTGTGTTTAAATATAGATTTCTATATTGTGTTGAACACAATATTTTTTTTATGTGCAATTCATTATCGCTTATGAATAAGAAATCTCATTCATCTTGTCACAACTTAATGACCGTTTTGCTTTCTCTTCATCTGTAAATCTCAATTTATTTTTTTCCAAGATTTTCCTTTACACTAACATAAGGTTTTGATCGATTATCTTTTAATTCTTACTAGATTAAGGTGAAAAAGTTTTATAAAATTAAACTCTAATATCTTAGAATTAATTTGCTTCCTGATTTTTGTTAAAAAGTGGCAACATAATTTTTTCATTTTGCATGTTGTTTTTTTGCTACAAAATCCCATGACCATCAAATCGTCATATGCCTTTACCTTCTACGTATCGAATCTAAATGGAAAACCAGATGTCCAGTAGGTACAGCATTGAATTAGCATACAAGCAAAGAATGAAACAAGAAACAAAATATAAAAAAGGTGTTTGATTTTTTCATAGATTAACCATGTATGTGGTCAATGTGGCCCAATTTGATTCAATCCTCGAGAGTTTTAATATAAATAGAACCACAATAATCTAACAAATTGTGGTTTTGTCCGATGTCGCCTTTTCCTCCATTTGTTCGAATTTAGGAATGACAAATCTTTTACAATAATTACTGCAGTATATTTTCTGATGTGATATGCGTAAAATAAAAAAATAATTAAAAATCCACAAAGGTAATTCGAAAACATATTTGTAATATAAGCAAAATAATACTTAAAAAAATTTGACATTCAAACAAATCCATATAACAACAACTCATGGGTCGGTGGTCCGTACGAGTAAGGCAATAGTTGGAACTTGTAGATGGCCTTAAATAGCTATAAAACAACAATATGATTCACA